CTCAGCACGTGGTTGAGGCTCCACCCGTAGACTCTTTCAAAAGAAAGTTGAAACAATTGAGAGACCATCATTGCCAGGACTAACACAGGCAATCAAGCCTCCTGTCCTTTCCAAACTCAAACTGAAATGAGTAGTCAGAAGTTGAGTTACAGGTGCTTCAATCCTTACTCGTTTTAGTAGCTTGGCTTCGAGATAATTCCTTAGGATTCGCTAACCAATCACCCTCATAACCGGTATTCGATGAGTCTGGACGGTGTACGAATTGAAAAGGCAACACAATTCTAAGACTATGGTTTACTTTTGGTTTGCGCACATCAAGCGAACGTGGGCAGACAGTCTAATGAGTGCAGGCAAGTTAATAAAGTGGGACATATGTGCGTAGACTGCGAAATGTAAAAGAGAATACATGAGCACACAGACAAGACATTAGTAGTGATACAAAGAAATAGACAAGTTGTTTGTGTTTGAACAGTAGCTTCTGTTCTACAAGTTAGCTAATGGGTTTGACAAAGTAGACCATAAACAAACTTCACTGTAGGAGAGGTGCTATAATATGTTCGCCATAACTAAATTTAATTACTTTTAACGCTAAGTAGTGAATATAGTTACTGTATTATCAAATGTTTTGTGTTAAGTTTTGATCTGTAAGACAATACAGTTCTATTCCTTCTGCTTCAAATCTGAATTCTTGATTCCGTTTGTTGAAGGTCTAGCTCATTTGGGAAACATGGTGACTCCTTGAACGATTTCAGGTTCACTATAAGCATGGTTCTTAATCATCTTGGGAGGTTACTGATCAGTGTGTAGCAGCAGGAAATTAAAGATTACTGGGATGGTTTGACTTTTAGTGTTTGACGCAACTTCAAGAAAAATAACATTCTGATTTATTTCATGACAATTATCAGAGGAAAACTCTGTAAGTTTGCTAAAGAATCTTGTATAACCCGACAAACATATCTGACTTACGTTCAATAAACCAAAGATATTACCAATAGATTATCTTCACATTATATAATTCAAAATACCATAAACAACACAGTTCTGCAAAATACGCCCTGTTCCAAATAAGGCGACATTAGATTTCCAACTACATCTCCAGACACAGTCTTCTAGGTACTAGTCCGTGAACAACTACGTGCTAACATTTTCAATCGCCTGATCGTTGTAACAAATGACCCTAAACTAGAGAGGCAACTTATAAAAAGATTTACTTTTTAGAATGATACAAGTTTCCTTATGGCATATGGAGATGTTAAAAATGATCCTGAGATTGTCTTGAAACGCACTGTGTCGTATTACCGAATTTAAATAAGTCTATTACACTGCAGTTAACCCAGATTGTTTTTAATAGTAGCCATGCCACACTTATTCAAATTGAGTAATTGAAAAAACACTTTCAAAACGTCTTTGGACACTAAACCCCGTTTTTTATGTAATGGATTGGCAGTCATCTGCAGAAGTATTCACCAATTATTGAGGACATTATTTACTAAAGTAGGAATGATTCATTTACGTCTGGTTGGTGATGATAGTATATAATCTATTATTTCCAAAATGAATTCGTTGTTTTTTATATGAATGTTCATCTAAATTCTACAAGTAGTGCAGTCGCTGGTATCACTGTCCACCATTTATCTATCATTGGTACAGTGGATGGTACATTACAAAAGGAAAGGATCAGTGTGGCAATGTTCCTACCATGGTTAACGAGCACGATTCATCTGTGGTAGCGAGTGAGTTTTTCTATCATTTTCATCACTTCGTACAGTATATAGGGTGTTTTTGCTGCTCATTATACATCAACATGTACACCTGACAATTTTCCATGAGGACAGCTAATCAGACTAAAATAAAGACGTTTAGAGAACATTCACTCACTCTATATCTCTTTTATGAGGTCATTTTTTCTAATGTTCGTAACAGCAGACATTCACAATGACATTTGGGGTGCACCCTTCGTAAGTGAGTATTATTTTGTGGTAGATACAAGGAAGAACGTTTATTGATACCTAAACTAATATAGAAACTCACTGCATCTGATAAAAACAAAGAAATAGAGGTCATGACTAACAATAGAAACTATTTTGGGAATATTATTTCACTTAATTCAAAGGTTGCGAAACGCTGATGTCAAGTTTTATTCCTGGTTTATTCTATGAGCCACAAGCTTTCTTCCGATGCCATACCCTTTTCTACTCCAAGGTTCTGTAATCTAAAAGTAACCTTTTGTAATCAATTTGGATGTAGGTGTATTTTTCCATTTGTTTGTGCTTTAGAACCGTGATAGACATCTGATGACCTATATATCTTCTTACACTAATCCGAATCAGTAAAAGCACGAGTAGTGTTCCAGTTTGATCGTCTTCTCTTTCTCTCTTGCCAATCAATCAAGTTGTAGATTGGTTTTAATCTCTCTTGTGCAGTCAGTTTTCTCTTGAATTAGACTCACTCATTTCTAGCCTCGAGATTGAATAATTTGGCCCATATTGTCAGGGTCTTAATATAGATTGAGACAATCTCTTCTGTACATTATTGGTTGGAAGGATGAAGGAAGTTGTAGTATCCATTAGAACTACTACGTACTCATATCTAGGATGTACACCACTTCTAGTGGTGTTTTCTTTAGTACTATCCAGCAGTACTCTGAAATAACCGACTTATTTGGTTGACACTGAAAGACACCAAGTATTTCACCATACTAATGGTATTAAATGGAGGCGAAAAGACATGGCATCGATTTGTTTTCGATTTTTTTATGATACATAAACCCATTTTAAAAAGTGGTCATATTAGTTGTAACTGGTGGTTATGAAGGATCAATTTTATAACGTTATGTGTCATTATTGGCAGCAAAGTCTGGCCAAAGACTCCCATGATATGCATGTAATATACAACGGAAAGCCTGTTGTACAAAATACGTTTCAAAGGAAGCAGTGGACATCTTTCCAACCAAGTGGGTGAATATAGCCATATGCATGCCATGGGACGAATGGGCATAATCCTGTGTGTTACTGGTGTGCATGTGACGTAGGTTTGCTCACAGGCTAGGTATACCTGTATGTATACAAAGGTATATACACATGAAAGTTCATGTGCCACTTAGTAGGTACAGCAAGTACACAAGTACCATCTCGATGAATCTACATGGTACCAAGCAAAATTGAGTTACACCTTGAGGTGTCTAGTTGGAGTCATCTATAGGAAGCCCTCTGCTGACATCGAGTACCACAGTCGTATGTTGGAATGATCATCCCGCTCTACCCGTCTCCAATACACTCATATCCTGCTTCTAGGAGACTTCAATATCTCTTAAGTCAACTTCGTCGAACATAAGTACATTAACGTTGACAACTTTATTGAAGCTCGATTTTTCAACCCACTGAAGATATATATTATCCAAAAATGTAAAATCGGCAACTCATTGGAGAAGCAGTCAGATGCTATCTCACCTAGACTGATTGTTTATAAACGAAGAATTCCTAACTGAAAACCTCCATATCCTGTCTCCTTTGCGGAAAAGTGAACACGTCGTCTAAGCCTTTTGTTTTATCAGTAAAACTAAGCTAAGACATATCACCAACAACAGGCAATGGAATTGTAAACGGTTGGATGTGTCAACTTTACTTGAAAACCTACGGCAGGTGGACTGGGGAGTTCACCCTCAACCTGATGTGGATGCTAACCGAGATTTCTTATTGTAAACGATCGTATGTGTTGCAAAGCAGTCTTTTCCTCAAGCTGTCTCCAAAGTCCACAAGCAACTTACAGTCATCATAAATCGTACTCTTCGTTTGCTATGCTGCAAAGGTTACTACTGGTTGGAATACAAATGAACTGATAACAGCAGCGCATACAGGCAATTCAACAAAGCAAAAAGCAATGAGCAAAAGTAATAGGAGAACTGAGGTTCCAGTATCAGATAAAGCTTATCGATAAACTTGTCTCCAATCGGAAAACCTTATTCCGTCATGCGTCCCCTCCTCGACAAGCCGACACCGAAATTTTCTAACAGCTAGGTCCTAATAACCCGAACAAAAACGGCGATGACGCCGCTTACCTTCTGGTAGTACTTTCGAGCATTCCAACCAACCTATACGAAAATATATTGATGAGAGCCTCACCTACAACTCCACAGAGCTCTCAAAAGTGAACGTGAGAACGGGTTTGGTGTATTAGAAACTGCAGTACCTAAAACTGACTTTCCTCAGGACCCGGATTTCGTCCTTTATGTTATGCTGTAGGAAGCAGCTTCAAGCTTGGCAACAACGCTATGCGTGATGTTTTTACAACTTAGGTAACTCACTTATAGAAGTATCACAAGTACGAAAACAATCTAGGAATATTGGTACCCTGTGATCTGAAGTCCTACGTCAACTGCGACAAAAACGCTTTTCAAGAAAACTCTGCACTGGTGACGTTGAAGGGCATTTTAGGCCAGTTCAACACAAGGACTTTCCTCATAATCTTCAATGGTTTTATTTGTCCCTGTTTAGAGTACGGAAACATTGTATTTCCTTCCTCACTCCAAAAGGATAAAGACTCTCTGGAATGTATCCAAAGGCAAACCACGCAACTAATTTGGAGACTTAAATTTAAGTCTTATGAATAGTGCCTCCAATCACTAAACCTTTACCTATCAGAGTACAGGCATTTCAGAGGCCACCATCTGGTAGAAAACATTTGCTATATATTTATGCATATCAACACTATGAACTAAATAAAAAACCAATTGCATCGTCAAAAAAGGTGCAAAAAATTAAAGGATAGTTTTTGTCCACCTATCCGGTGGAAAAATACGAAACATAAAGTTGGAAGTGAAATAAAGTTTGGGGTAAATTGCCGTCTTTAACACATATCCCTCCTGATTATTGCTAAAGAAATCCATATCTCAAATAATAATACAGGTGAAGAAACAATCAACCTTAGAATTGCAAGCAATCTTTTAGCTGTTTCATAAGTCTATTGTGGTTGTTTGTTTAACACTATCAAAATAAAAGACAAGTTGAGTAAGCGGCAGATGCGAGTTAGTTCCATCTTACCGGTATTCGGTGGGTCCTTCTGTTGTATATATTTACTACTTATAATAAAGACACTTTGGATGTATTATTTATCTGCAGCATAAAATTTGTACATCTCTTCCATCATTGATCTCAATTTATTATATCTAGTTTACATAGAATTTGAGTAATTTTTCTGTTGACCAAATTCACCTCCATCTATATCATTTTAAGTCCGTAGGGAGAGGATCTCTATCCTTTCGAAGAATACTGTTGACGATCGTGATTCAACAAACTGGTTCAAGGTCTAATCGTCTCGTTCTCCCTATTTTGGGCAAAATTTGAAGTTCCCCCAAAGTCGTAAGAAGTTTTCTAGTTTTCCTAAAAGTATGGGTAAATTTTGTTGAAAATCCAAAACTTCCTCAAACATTTCAGGGATCTCTCTAGGCCTGGAGAGATTTTTGGGCTATTGTGCTGTTTCTGCAAAGTTTTGTGTTGTGGCTTCCTCAAAATTTGCCCGAAACGGACTACATTGTCCTCGAGTTAGAAAAATTGAAATAGGAAATAAGGTGAATGTAAATAAGTTTGGAAATATTATTTGCCATTTTCTCATATTTCTTCCCCATTTCATGTACATTGCTTCCTCCTTTTGTGACGACTTGTATCAACTGTTTAACTCCTCGATTTTGAACGCTACATGCCGTTAGCTTAATGAGATACGATATTTTCCTACGGCGCATTTTTACTATTGATCTATTAGGATGCTCAATATACAAGTAATTACGACACCTTTTTTAGATAGACTGACGTAATTCACTCTTAACCGCTCTCAACAACAATATAAACGTGTTTAGGCTGGGTTTTTTGCACTGTACGACATCCGAAAGCTGATGTTAATATTCACTTTTTTCAGACATGAACGCGACTGTACGAAAGAAAAGACGGAGAACTATAGAAAAAGTTTATTTGGTTAAACTGAATAACACGTGTACTGATATATATATAAATTTATATCCTATTTTTCGTCATGGATTAAACTCAAACAAGGCACAGATTGGCTCATCAGATTCAAACGTTACCTCTACAGTAAAACGATCGTAAGGGGACCCCTTACGATCAAATTATTTGAACATGAATTTTCTGGAAACAAGTACTCTGATAAGGTTGCCATCCCCCTATGTGATAAGACCATTATGGAAATTACTGATAAGCAAACAGTATTGCTCGATGGACATTATCAAGTGCCGATACCCTGGAAATTGGATTGGCACTCACTTCCAAAGAATAAGCGCGAAATAGAAAAACGATTAACTTACCTACGTAAATAGTTACTAAAAGACGAACGGCTTCGGAAACAGTATACTATTATATTAGCTACCCGCGAAAGTAAAGGATATTTGTCTCGAGTAACACAAGCTATCGAAGAGAAAGGGTATTTTATTCCACATCATTCCGTGTTTAACCCTAACAAACCAGGTAAAGTTCAGATATTCTTTGATTGGCTGCTAAGTTGCAAAGCAGGTCTCTAAATAATTGTATACATTCTGGACCAGATCTTACAAACAACCTAGTGGGAGTTTTGCTTAGATTCAGAAAGCATAAAATTGGACTGTCAGCAGACATCGAAGAAGAAATGTTCTTCCCGGTACATCTACCTGAAAAAGATACAACGGCCTTCAGCTTTTTATGGTATCCCGATTGTAATCTTGACTCTTCTCCTGAGGTCTATGAGTTGCATGTACACCCTTTCGGGGCTACGTCCTCACCGTTTTGCGCTACTTATGCTTTAAGACGTACAGCTGCAGACCACCGAGACTTGTTCGATGAAAAAACACAGTCCACACGTTATTAATAAGCTACGTCTAATCGTGATTGACAACCTGATTCGCGTAAGAGGACTTTGAACCATAGTGATCTCCCGTTAGAGCAGAAACATCCGATTATTCTACCCAGCAAACACCCTATAACTAAGCTTATCATTCGTCACTACCATCAAGCTGAGGGACACATGGGGGTGTACTACACACTAGCCGCCTTGCGCAGAAGGCTTTGGATCTTAAAGGGCACTACTGCAGTTAAGAGGATCATACATAAATGTATAGGCTGCCGTATTAAATCGTCTACATAAAAATTTTCTCGTAAGGTGGACTGTTTTTTCATCGAACAAGTCTCGGTGGTCTGCAGCTGTACGTCTTAAAGCATAAGTAGCGCAAAACGGTGAGGACGTAGCCCCGAAAGGGTGTACATGCAACTCATAGACCTCAGGAGAAGAGTCAAGATTACAATCGGGATACCATAAAAAGCTGAGGGCCGTTGTATCTTTTTCAGGTAGATGTACCTGGAGGAACATTTCTTCGATGTCTGCTGACAGTCCAAAATTCATGTTCAAATAATTTGAGAATATCCTCCTTGAAGGAGTTTTTTATTTTCGCCAACTAAAGAGATTATGACACCCATTACCTATCCGCGAATATCATTTACGTTAACTCGTGATGTCTGTTGGTGCATGAGTGGGTTTGAAGACATTTAGGGGCAGCCAAACCAATAGGTAGCATCAGTCCATGAAGTCATTTGCTGATGATCTACGCTGTGAACGTAAGTTTACACTGTCGATTATCGTAATTGATAGTTGGAGAAATCAGATGATATGGCTTATAATCAGTCACTTTAGCGCAGACCCACCCACTCTTTTTTTGATATCCAGACTTAAAATTATTCCTTATTTCGTAAATTCTTGTCGTCATATTGTCTGTGTCTAATCCTTTTTATTGTCAATGACTGTTACTGTTTTTACTACTGTGCGATGTTTCTTGACGATTTCATCTCTGTGCTAATGGGGTATATTATCTTGAACCAATTAATATATGAACCATATTATACCCGGCGTATGACTGGGTGAGTTGGTCAAGAGATAGAAATGTACATGAGGATGTATATGACCTGTCACTAAAACATCGACTTGGACAAAGATTCTTCTGGAGCTTAGTATTCTCCCAAATCTATTGAAATTTTTGCCATTAATCGGTCAAGTCCTTCGGGATCCATTTATCACGCTTTCAGTTCACAATATGGCTTTACAACTGGTCTATGTCTTCAGCTAGATTGATCAGTAATAGTATTTATTTATTTTTATTTAAACACATAAATATTGATACAAAGTGGCACCAGATACATATACGCCACACAAATTTCATTTGATTTGTGTGAGGGCTGTAATACTGCCCGGGTGCCCAAACTGAAACAGGTGGTTTTCTTAAGGGGCCACACCCGGAGCCTTTAACCTAAAGGTCTGACCCACAAGGCAGTAGAGCATCGTAAGGAGATGCGGTCCCATGGTAGCCGGTGTCCAACAATTAATTCATACTCGATTTGTTCACTCAGGATACTAGTGGCTATGTACACCATTGGTTTGGAATCAGGGTTTCCCAACTCCCCTAGATGGACTTTCCGTGTCCACCAACCCAGTTAAAGCACCGGACATTCGCTTTCGTCCTCTCACTTTCGTAAACAACAGTAGTGCTACGAGAAGGCAGTGAGTAGGACTTTTGTGGCAGAGGCTATATACGCGTGGCCATGTGAGAGCATTTCGAGAGGGAGAGCGTACTCTCCTCACTCTCGGCCGTACTAGGGCATTTGGGGGCACTGTGCTGGCGAAAAATGACACAATTTGTTTGCTAAGTAAGTTAACTAAACATATTGATAAATCTAAAGACATATGAACTCGCGTGGAAGTGAGTGTGCTATAAATTTCAGTACCTGTGTATTGATATGTAGTTTAAAAGGGCTTTGGTTTTAGAACATTGCGTCCCAGATCCTAATCTCACTACATTTTTTAAGGTTCAGAATTTCACTTAGTGTCAGAAATTCTCACATTACAACCCAGCTATTCCTATTGCTTAATATTCTTGGACACCAATTCACTCGACAAGTCCCCAAATGAGAACACTGTTGAACAGGAAAAAATTATATTCCAAATAACAAGGGTAGATGAAAGTAAGAAGCGTAATAAGAAATACGTTAGTCTATTTATAGTTTCTACATTAGAAGATTCTAGAGTGTTCCCTAGTATCGACTAGCCAATCAGCGTGCAGCAACACATTCGTGCACAAAACATGCTTTAATATAATCTATGCCTCACTAACACTTAGTATCGTTATTTTTTAAAATATCACTAGTTTATCTTTTGGTGAATAAACCTCTTCGTGATTGCTAACCTTCACTATCTTTAATGTTATACATATAAGTAAGTTGTTTCGCCAGTAGTATATACGGTAATCTACATATTTGTTTTCATGTTAGATATATTAGGAGGAGTTTCACTCTAATACAATGTCAGAGGATAGTGATTTTAAAGTTTTGGATTATTTGCATATACAACTGAAGCCTGGATGGACTAAAAAGGGAATAACTGAATTTCTGAAAGAAGCAGAAAAGCGCGAAATCTTGTACACAAGAGCCCGTAGAGATGATATGGAGAAAGCAATCGCTCAGTTTAGAAGTTCTGCTTTGAACTTCATCGCCAGACTACCGAGTGAGATACGAAGTAAACCTTACTTTGATTGTATCAACCAGTATAATAAGGATACAGGAGCGAATGTAAGTTGAACTCAAAGTAGTACTGCATGCAAGTTTTGGTTTTAATACTGATACACTATCCAGTAGTATGCCTGTTTTACGGTCGGCTAGGCTCTTAAAATCGGTTTATGATTGAGCTATTATAGATCAGCTCTCGCTGTTGCACTACTGTATTTCCTCTCATAGAATCTATCCCAAAAAATCTATCACAAATCTTTAAAATAGTTTTTTTGCACTAAGAAATGATATTGTTGATCATTGTGGATATTTAAAAGTTAAAACTATTTGTAATTAATCACTTTACCAAGTAACCTCTAATGGTGATTTATTGGTATGAGCATTAAGCTTTTAATGATTCCGTTATATATTCAAGTCCCGCTTAACATGCTTTCTTATTTTTTTGGTGATATTACTAGTTGTTGCACTGATATGGTATTTTCAAACCAAGCACTCAAACGTGTATTTTGTTTTACAGTGGGATTAATAAACGAAGTTTCTTTTTCGGAAAAGACCATCTATGATCGAATGTATATACTTCTACAAACACCTTTACCCATTTTTCAACTTTCTATTACTGCAACTGACAGTAATGTTCGGATAATTTTGGCTTTAAAGGTACCCATGTTCAAATACTTAACATCTTTACTGTCCACATATCGACTTAGAATACGCAGATGACATAGTCCTGTTTGATGAAAATGTTGACAAAATGCAGTCTTTTGTTAGAACTGAGTAATAATGCCAGGATGTTTGAGATGCGTTTCTCCCCATCTAAATGTAAACTGTTACTCCAGGACTGGCCTGCGTCAACACCTGAACTAAGGATAGGGAGTAAAGTAGTCGAACGTGTCGACAGATTCACTTGTCTTGCCCTAATGGGTTGGTGTCCAACGAAATCTTAGCACGGATTCAAAAAGTTCGTTTGGCTTTTGCCAACATACGTCACCTATGGCGAAGACGAGATATCCATCTATCAATTAAGGGACGAGTATACTGCGCAGCAGTTCGTTCTGTTCTACTTTACGGCTGCGAAACATGGCCATTAAGAGTAGAAGATTTTATTTTTTATTTATTTAAACACATAAATATTGGTACAAGGAAGCACCAGATACATATGCGCCATACAAATCTCATTCGATTTGTGTAAGGGCTGTGATAATTCCCAGGTGCCCGAACTGAAACAGGTGGGGCCCACACCCGGAGCCTTCGACCGAAAGATCTGATCCACAAGGCAGTGGAACATCGTGAGGAGATGCAGTCCCATGGTAGCCGGTGATCATCGATTGATTCATACGCCATTTGTTCTCTCAGGATACTGGAGCCCATGTGCACCATTGGTTTGGAATGAGGGTTTTCCAACTCTCCTAGGTGGGTCCTCCACATCCACCAACCAGGTTAAAGCGCCGGACATTCGCTTTTCGTCCTCTTACTTTTATGAATAACACCCTCACCACGAGAAGGCAGTGAGTAGGACTTCCCTGACAGAGGCTATATATTCGCTGGCCATGTGAGAGCATTTCGAGAGGGAGAGTAGACTCTCCCCACTCTCGGCCGTACCAGGGCATTTGGGGGCAAGAGAGTAGAAGATACTCGTAGGTTACTAGTATTTGACCACAGATGCCTTAGAAATATTGCTCGCATCTGCTGGGATCACCGGGTAAGTAATAGTGAGGTTAGACGCAGGGCATTAGGGAATGATGGTAAATCAGTTGATGAGGTTGTGAATCTTCATCAACTGAGATGGTTGGGCCACGTGTTACGTATGCCTGAACACCGATTACCACGACGCGCTATGCTGACTAGTGTAGGGGATGGTTGGAAGAGAGTTAGGGGCGGCCAAACCAAAACATGGCATCAGTGTTTGAAGTCACTAACTTCTAGTGTGAGCCATGTTGGCAGATGCAGACTACTTGGTTGGGGTCCGCGTGACTATCGTGACCAATGTTGGAGACTCTAGGTGACATGGCTCAGAATCGATCACAATGGCGTAGGTGTATACACTCTTTATCTTCCCTTTTACCTTGAGATTAAAATCGTTTCATGTCTGTCTTCTTTACTGTACTATATCCTTATATACAACCTTTCTTTTATATACTACCACCACTAAATTAACTATTTCCATGAATCCGGTGTTCATCTTGTTGTGCAAACGAGGTATGGCAACTTGGACCGGTGCATAAATATGCCTGGTCCTACGTTGTAGATGACTGACTGACCCATGTCTCGGCTACTAAACTATACGAAAACAACTAATTTCTTGAAATAAGGTATCTCATTAGCGTCATGAATAATCCGTGTTTTTTGAGTGATAAACGAGTTATCTATATTGCAGCTTTTTGTTTGATAATACCTCCGAAGGTTAACTTGACTGATGGGATTTTTAAGACCCGGAAGTCTATGGCTATATGACTATTCCCTGTTTTTCTTATACTATAAGTTCAGATAAAAGACTTGAGAATAAACCAATATCTCGTAATGTCTACAAGATCTACATCATTGTCCAAGTTGTGTTTAGGTAGTGTCTAACTTCATAGATTTGAATTTCTGGAAATAGTTACCCTTATAATATTCGAATACACAAACTAAGGTTACGGTATTTTGGTTTGTTGTAATCTTTTATCTGAAACTAACACAAACAGCTGTTGTAAATCTCATGTAAATAACTTTATTAGAATTGATATCTTTTGAATATCCATATTGACATAATATACTTTCGTTTACATCTACGTTATTGCATTAGTTACTTGACCAGTTGGTGTCTGAGGTAAAAAAGCGTAGTCGACTAGAATGGGAAGATTCTGTAAAGACTCGTACCGGAAAAAGACCATGTAGAGGACATACTACAAGTAATTGTCGAAGTGCAAAGACATCTCAAGCATCCAATAATCCGCAGTTGTCACAATGGCCATCTATGCCCTTTATTTCTGAAGATGGAGAGTTAACAAACGTTAATGGTGTCGATCAAGTTCCAACTCTAAATGCTTCTCAGGTATTTAATCGTTACTACAGTTATTTGTTGTTTATTGTTTAATTCTTTTTATGTTATCTATTTCATATTGTGTAAACATAGCCTTAAAAATACAACTATCTAGCTTCTTTCTTATGCTTACGCATCTCTACAATGATGTCTTTGACATCTTAACGATAATTAAACTATTGGGACTATTTGTGGAATTCAAGATGGATGATTAATCCAGCTTGTGGTCATTGTACAATCATCTTACTCAGTAATTTACCAAACGAGTAAATGACAGTTTGAAGCTCATACCCAATGCACGCAAAATCAAAGTAATTTTTGTGAGTTATTATTCCTAAATCTGAAAGTAAATTATAATTAACATATAGTCTTTAAAAGAACGACACTATTTCGTATGGTGTTGATGACCTTCTCAGGTGCACCGTAGTGTCGAAGAAGCTTCCATAAGCCTCTACTATCCACACTGTCAAATGTCTTGTCACAGTCAAGGAAATCGTTGTGTAGTGACAAGTTCCATTCAATTGATTTTCTAATAATGATCCATAGTGTTGCGATTCGGTCTGTACATAACCGATCCTTACGGAATCCAGTCTGTTGATCTCGAATTTGGGTATCTACTGAATCTTTCATTCAGTTCCACAACACTGTTGGAAACTTTTTCTCGCACTAATAGTAGTGTGATTCCCCTGTAATTCTCACTTGCTCGGATCTCCTTTCTTTGACATCTAGATGAGATATCCCTCTTTCCAGTTTGTCAGTGGCACTTGGTCTTCCTCCCAAATATTTCTGAATACAACGCAGAGCATCCTTGCAGTTACCTGTATTTGTGACTTCGGTGCTTCATCTGGTATGTTTTCTGATTTTGTTGCTTTTCTACTCTTGATTTGTTCGATCGTTAGTGGAGTGACAGCTATAGGAAGGTCTGTGTGCTGCTTCGATGTCCGGTAGGTTTAGTGGGGCTAGTCTATTTAAAAGTTCTTCAAAGTGTTCTACCCACTTGTCCAACTGTTCTTGAATCTCAGTGATTAGCTTGCCTTATTTGTGCTTGACTAGTCACTATGTTTACTATATTTCCCTCCTAGTTTCTTCTTTATACCATATAGTTGTTTGATATTTCCTTCTGTTGCAGATTTTTCCACTGTCATTTCTAGGTCTTCCATGTATTTCTACTTATCGGTCCTAATGCTCCTCTTCACTCTCTTTTTTGTTTCTGTATATTCGGCGTGTGTCTCGACTTTCTCTGTTCCTGTTGGACTGTTGTTAATTGCTGTCTTCTTGTTCTTCCTTTCTTGAATCTTGTCCAGGGTTTCGATGGAGATCCATTCCTTATGATAATGCTTGCTGAGGCCTAGAACCTCCTGACACGTTAAAGTGCCACCTATAACCATTTTGTTGAATGTGCATAAATTTGCAAATCTCTCGCCATTTTCGTTCCTTTTTTTCAGTTCATGTTGTCTTATGATATCTTCATACCCGATGTTGTCCATTCCCACCATGGCGTTTAGGTCTCTTATCAGGATGGTTGTGTCCCTTTTTGGGCACGTCCTTATGACTGACTTCAGTCTCTCATGAAACTGATCTTTATCTTCCTCATTGTTATGATTGGTGGGTGCATAGTAGTGGATAACAATCATCACGATCCCCTCCTTTGTTTTGAAGGATGCTTTGATGATCGTGAATCCATAAGATTCCTATCGTATATGTGCTTTTCGTGCTTTTTTGGACAGAATCAAAGCAACTTCCTTCGTGTGTAAGTTATTTTATTCTTCATGAACAGTGTACAACAGCAGCTGTCTGAAATCGAATCCTTTCTGTCCAGCTTTGGTCTAATAGGTTTCACTTATTCTGAGCATCATCAAGTTGTATCTTGTAGAGGGTTAATTCCTCTATATTTGACTCCAATAATTAAATAATATCACGTTAACTAAATATTTAACACAGACTAAATTTCCTAGTAGAATTATGGATTTACTCGAGATTATTCAAAAGCCCGAACACCAGTGATAAAGATAGTTTATTGTTAAAGATCGGTAAAATCCACAAGCGTACAGATAGCAAGCACACAGGGAAAACAAGTGAATATATGTAATGTTGTTAATGGATTGTGGATAAATTATTGTCTTTGCTTACAACCAACGTGAGAATAGATTAAAGATTGATGTGCAGACACGCGCTCCATCAGACTCACACATAAATTTACATAGTGGATTAAATGTCTAGATTAAAGAGGGCACACAAATAATACAGTAGTTGAATGGGCTTGCTACAATCTCTTCATTTCCGCAGCTATTCGACCGGTCCTCCTAGTCTCCCACATTATTCGGACATTCCATGTACCCATATTAATTGTTGCTCTAGTTGTTAGAAGGAGGACTGGCCTCGTGGTTTCCGAAGCATCTCGGCTTTCATCATAAGGCGTAATAATTCTTGTGAATTAATATCCTTCAACTTCGAGGACGAAATTTAAGTGATTTTTTTCTAGTTAGCGTTATTCTAGCTTCTCATTTTAATATCTGTCTGAGTAAGCAAGTGACTGAAGTCAATTCATCCTACTTAATCCGTATGGGGCTTCTTATTACCGCCATCGCTCAAATATGTCTAGCTTAGGTGTAGTATATGGAGTCAAACGTCAAAGTGGAGGGTCACCAGAAATTGAGCGTCATGAGTTGTAAAGGAACCCAAATACGTCACGGAGACGCAGTGTTTATCAAAACTATCTTCCGAAACTTCTCATACAAGGATCGTAAAGCCAATCAGACCAGAAAACGAGAATGAAGGGATGCAAAGATATAGTTGAATAATGGTCGATGCTCCGAGGTGCGTGTATTCCTATGTGACTAGTTCCGAAAGATGCGTAGCACGGCGTACCCGAACGTGATCTGGAGTGTATGTTTGACCGAGCGCCTTCAGCTAACAATATGTCCAGCAAAACTAATGGGGACAGCATAGATGTCGAAGACTTATAAAACTAATTATGTTGAAGAGCTGCTTACCGCTACTTCCCCCTCTCTAGTAAGGGCCCTGATATGTTACCATGCAGGAGTTTACAGTTAATGAGCTTGTCGTTAATAAACACTTCGATAGCTTCCTAGGACTTCGTGGGGTGAATGATGAAAATGTACAAAAATAAGTTACATGGTTCTCTGAATTCGTCCCCGTCTCTTCATCTTTTCCAGTCGTCATGGGTGATAAAGAAATGGTAATGTAAGTGCCCAATACGTATGTCTACGGAAGCAACAACCTTAAATTCACCCACTTATGATATATTTTGAGTTAATAGTATCTAATATCACACTAAGTGCCTTGATGGGATATCGCAGTCAGTGCGAATTCACATCGTGTTGTTATTACTAGCCTAACCATGATATAGTTTCACGTGCTGGAAGGACAGTTGAGTTGAGAAATTTTGCGTCTTTTCATTGTAAATAATGTTTTATTCGTTATCAATTCAGTGTTATTTATTCTTGTTTACTTCTGATCAGATGAAAGGTGGTGGTGGTGGTGGAAAACGGTTACCAATTGCTTCCACACCAAAAGTTACTGAACTTGAAGGATTCATTCCTCCATCTACTACTTATCGAGTAACTCGATCACGTGCGATCAATAACCAAGGTTCAAGTACATGTAAAATGAATACAACTCGTGTAACTAACACAAATACAAATCATTATACAACAACTAATGATACTTTAACCACTATGGATAAAACTTTACGACCTAATTCTACACAAAAATTGTCCAAAGACATGAGAGTAAGTTTTTTTCTTAACAGTGTATAGTAATTATTTATACTATAATTTTAAATATCCACTCGGAAACAATAAACATATTCAGTTTCCTAACAATAAACCTATTGGATATGTGCAAATAAATGGTAATAGGATAATCAGAGAATTCCATCCTTTGTCTTATTATTAAATGTCATTAATTTATTAAGTGGATTTGTTTATATTTTCGAAATTCATTAATAATTTTAAAAATTAGAAACAAAATTTATAAATTCTAGTAATTTCAGTTGTGAAAGGGAAACATTGGGAATTTAAATGTATCAAACTTATTACTTTAAAAAAAAAAAACTTGTAGTAATACAGTATTTTTTGTCAGATGTAAACCGAAACTATAAAATTCTAGACTTCGACTCTATGTAACTATTTATCAAGACATGACAATGTGAATACCTTATTTACTGTAATAAAGTAGATGGCTTCTTTACGTATATTAGAAATAGAAACATAGTTAATAAAAAAAGATGAATAGTGGCTAGCAGTGGAATGAAGGACGCGCGTTTCGTCCTACTTGGGACTCGTCAGCTGGATGCACCTGCATTTCAGAGTTGATGTTCACTCTAGAACTCGAACCCAGTGCCATTCGTTTCAAACGCCATCGCGTTATCCACTTAGCTACTGAGTCCTGATAGCCACTTGTTTGTGCGATGGGGTGAAGTTTAAATTCACTTAGTATTGTTTGTTTGAATCTTCCCATCTATCTGACGAGTCCCAAATAGGACGAAACGCGCGTCCTGGATTCCACTGCTAGCCACTATCCATCTTTGTTTACAATGCTTGTGAACTAAGGCTATATCGAAGCAATACGCACATATGCCAATTAGAGACAGACTGATCAATTGCAGTCCTAAACATCAATGGGAAGATTCAAACAAACAATACTAAGTGAATAGTTAATAAATGTTTTCAATAGACAGATGTGAGGATATTTAATTATGCTTTTGATATGTAAAATTGTTAATAGTAGTAGGTATTAGTACGCGGTTCGTAACAGTTTATCATAATAAAGTGATATGTCCGATAGAATACCTAATGCTCCGAATAATATCTTCAGGTTTTGACTAAATCAGTCGTGACAATCAATGTTCCCTTAAGATCATCCAAACAACGACCTAGTTAGCGTTAATTTCTTTTCATGCAGTCAAGTGTCTAAGCCTACCTTCGATTTCTAAACTTCAGTCTTTATATGATTCCAGCGAAATAAGAGGAAGCCTAATTAAATTCACACATTTTGAATAAGAACATTCAACCAACATAGCTCGACTGATTCATCACGATAGGCAAGCCCAACGAACAGGCCAAGGTAGCGACTATGGTCGGGACTTACATTACTGCGTTAAGGTTAAACTAAAACCTGAATAAATTAGTGATCATGTCCTAGTATGTAAAATATTCTATTTCCTTCGTAATTCCACATGGATGTGTTGATAGGGAATCAGTAACCAACTACGTCCAACTTGATCACTTTTAAGTATACAGTACAAGACGATAGGACCTGTTGGCAGCAATTATCAAATCATCCAGCTCAGAGAACAAAACTCCACCGAAATCATCCACTTGAGCTACAAATCTTTACTATCTCAATGATCGCAAACACACACTACTAGGGTTCAATAAGGGACATCGTCATTCACTATAAATCATTACCAAAACACGCTAAATCAATAAAAGTTTAAGATTTGTTTTGGATTGTAAACGAACTAAACCCCAACTTCGTAAAACTGAGTTTCATCCCATCTCAGTAATGACTACTACATTAATTTACAAATGCAATATTATTTTCCCATTTCGTCCAGTTAGAGTAGCAAAAGCTTATTGAAATGGTGTAATATTGCGAATAGTGTCAAGTAGTTATTTACTGTTAAAAGCATAGTATATATATAATGCTAGACACAACTATTTTTTATAGTCGAAGTGAATAACTCTTCTGTCAACACTTGTAAATTGTTTTCTTATTCTGGCTAATAGGATAAATTATTATCGAAGATTGATCGTAACAATATACAATTATCATCACCGGAAGCACAGCATCTACGTAATCTTATTGTAACACTTCAAGATGTTTTAGACCGTCATACTCAGTCAAGAAGGAAATGAAGAAGCAAGTCGATGCGTGATGCAAACTTCTGTCTCTGTTTTATAACTTTGTACAATCAATTACTTGTCCAGATTTCATAAGTGTAAAAAAATATGATAATTTAGTTGTTTTAATCTTATTATTCTTCGTTTACTGATGTATATATGATAAAGTTTACTTACTTATTTTATCACCACAATACTCAACTAATATGTTTAGATATTTACTAAATTAAGCGTTTATTACAAAATTGTCTGGGATATGAACCACTGATTGGCGTGATATTGTGTTGTATTTAGTCGATCGACAGATGACTGACTCTAATCCGATGCTAAAATCTCAATGATACTTCAGATTTACGAACCTCCTGCTTGCAAACCTTGGTTTTTTACAACGGCTTACAAGGTTGCTACTGAAATGCAATAAGCCCATGATAAACACTAAATATGATAACTCTTTTGAATGTCTACTTCTAATATTATCTTTATTAGCAATGTGTTAATAAACAACATAATGACATTATTTTCACCTTAACGTTGTTTGCAGCCTAGAAATTACTTGACTTTTTCTATGATACAAGCCATACTTGCTTTGGGATATTATGAAGCATTATTACAAGATACACAGTTTGAATTTACCAACTCCAAGTTTCTATACAGAAACGTGGCGACATTGTACCATTTCCTTTTATGTACTTTTTGACTCAGATGTGATTATCGAAGATAGAGTAGGATATTATCACTGTTTCATTATAATCTTAAAATGTTCAGTAGGGCATAAGAATCAGCTAATGGGGTAACAGGCTTTATTTTGTACGGACACTTCAAACGTGTCACGCATACTGTTAAACACATACCTAGACAATGATACATAAGTAAATATACAACTGAAATGACTGAGACATCATGCATGTCTAAGTCGACGTACTACTTTGTTTGGCATCGCAGGTTGAGAGGAAAACTATGGACGATCAAACTCAGATGCGGCATTAGTTCATGAGGTTACTGGCTGTTGAATCAAACAGTGTACGTGGGTGCAGACTACACAGCTAAGATCCGCCTGGTCAGTTGTTGGAAACAAGTGACATGATCTATAACCAGTCATATTGGTGCTGATGCAGTCACTCTATCTTCTTTCAAGTATTTACCTTCAGTATTTCTTCAATACCTTTTTATTTTGTCTTCTATGACAAATCAATTGCAACGTGCACCCGACTTCAGTGTTTTAATTATTGTACTCCGTAGCTGTTGCTTATTTTTCCATATATTTTCAGTTATACCGTGTTCTAAATTGTCTAGTTTGTCGTAAAATTGTCAGGTTATGGTTTAACTTTTTTCGTTTCGGTTTTGCTTTAGAAAATATTGTATTTAGGATACTGAAAAGCTACGTTATGCGCTATTCGTATCCCAATTTTCGTTGACAACTAAACTCCTCTCGTCTTCATAGTAATGATATAATGGTCCCCTGAAGGGCTACATAATTCTTGTTGCGTTTTTCCCTTTTCATCTAATTTTATGCTAGTTAACTGTTTGCCCAGACACGAATATCCTATCATGAACTCAAGCGTCATCAAACACCATGAGTCAATTGTTTTCGTATTTGTATTCATATCTCAACTCTAGGTTATTCCATTTAAACACGCACAGATTACCAGTTATCGTAATGTTTGGATTTAGTACCCTATCAAACTTTCCTTTTTCCCACTCAACATTAAATGGTCAAAATTTGATCCTTATTGCAGTGCTTTAATTGTTTTTTTCATTGCTAACAGGTGAGAATTTGTTACATAGAATCAGGTTTACAACTACAATTGCTAAACAGTTGTTCTAGTAGATCCTGGGAGATTCAAATGATTAGCAACTATCTGATAATTGTTGCTAGAGTCGCAATAATACAGAGCGTTTTAACTAATACATGTAATCTGCATAAACATCCAGTTATGTAGTAGGATGAAGTTACTCATTCGTCCATTTAATCACTGACAATGAGGAATTCTGTCTCGTAGTCAAACATAAGTTGTTTTTAATAACTTCATGTACTAAAATGAGATTTTGGCTACACAAGTTTTAGACTTGAAATATGTAACAAGATGCTGATCGGTCGTTGAGGTAAACCGTACGCATAAACGCTAATTTACCCGTAAGGGTATTCTCGAATAAAACTTGTGGTTACGCTTCGACAACTAAATTGAGTATTCAATGACAAGTTCATTAAAAGAAAAAAACAAATCAAATACACTAAAAGTATATATTTACAATAACTGCATGTACAAGAGTCATACTATCACGTGTAACACTTCAGTATTAAAGGGTAACCAATTTTTAGTGTCGAAAGTCGATAACGTAATTATAACAAAATTTATGTACAGTGACAATTTTTGCTGCACTTAGCGGAATGGTCTTGGTGGACTAGGAGGCTCCGCCTTAATGGAGACTTTGCGTGGTGGAGAAGGACTTGGATTGCGTAGGCGTCTCGGAGAGTTCCTTTGACCAATGTCTTCTGTTTTGGTTTCTGAATGAGGCTCTCTGTTTTCCCTAAGCCTTGGTTCTCGATTCTCTCTATGTCTGAACTCTCCATTTTCTCTAGATCTTGACTCTCGATTATGACGTCTCTCTCGCTCATTCTGCTTCTGAATAGATTCAAGGCGTCGCTTTTCTGCTTCGTCTTGTTCCTGTTGAATTTTTTTGAGTTGTTTCATCACTTCGGGACCACATCCGTGCTCTTTAACAAATTCTGAAACAGAGTCAGTAGGTCGTTTGTACTCTGGCTTTTTATCCGTATGTCCAACATCAAGAATTCCGTCCTTTGGTACTCGATATTTTTCAACGTGGTCTACTCGGATTATACGGCCTCCTAGTTTTATTCCATTTAAATTATCAGTAGCTAGAACAGTACTTCTTTGATCTTCATAACACACGAATGCAAATCCCTTTGATACACCTGTCTTTTTATCCCGAACTAAATTGATATTAACAATTTCACCATACTGAGAAAAAACACAAATAACATCACCTTCAGTAAGATCGTAATGTAAACCACCCACATAGATCCAAGCCGAATCTTTGTACTGTCTGTGCCAACTGCTAACTGTCCCTGTGTGACTGAGCGATAACTCCTTTTCATTCATTAAATTCTGATTTTTGGCATTCGTAATTGGATTCATTGTGGGACCGTTGTATCTACAATAACATTGTAAAAAATAAACGGGTAGACTAAGAGAGGGTTATTTAACAATCAGTGTACCATTCTAGCGTATTAAATAATAGTTATTGTTATTCCACATTTGTTGTAAGGAGGTACAGATTTTTCCTTTTTATACTACCTTGGTAAAGTTGGTTTGGCAGAGATAACTAGCTTTACGGTAATGTAAATCTAAGACTGACTTAGTACTGTAAATTTAGACACTGGACTTAGAATACTACACAAAGTTTGACTTTCTGTGCATCCTAAAACTAAATATAAACGGAACTAATGCAGTGATCAAATTAGAACAAATAGCATTTTCAAACAAATGCACGGACAGCACATGAAGTTAAACTGTTAGCGGGACATAGATTGGATTAAAGCATGTTTCATGCATGATGGTGTTGCTACGCGCTGATTGGCTAATTCTAAACCGATCAGCCCGGGCATATTATTGGAGAAAAATCTAGAAGCTTCTTATGTATATACTATAAATATATGAACGTTATTCAAAACTAGTGATTGCTGTTCACTTATCATTATTAAGAATACTAAGCAATAGGAATAGCTGGGTCGTTTATATAGCAAAACACAATTATAACATAAACATTCAGAAATATTTTCTTATGAGTTATTCAATCTTTTGTGTATAGCTAATAGGATTTATTATTCAAGTGCCAGTTGATGACATAGACTTTTATGCTACCTGATTACCTAAACCAAAGAAGATAAAAATGTTTGAACGTATGAACCAAGTACTCTAGGAACTAAACATTAACTTGCCCCCAAATGCCCTGATACGGCCGAGAGTGGGGAGAGTCTGCTCTTCCTATCGAAATGCTCTCACATGACCATGCGTAATATAGCCTCTTCCAGGGAAGTCATACTCACTGCCTTCTCATAGCAAGGGCGTTGTTCACGAAAGTGAGAGGACGAAAAGCAAATGTCCGGCGCTTTAACTGGGTTGGTGGACACGGTGCGTCCACCTAAGGGATTTGGAAAACCCTGATTCCAAACCAATGGTGCACATGGGCTCCAGGATCCTGATGGAACGAATGGCGTATGAACCAATTGTTGGTCACCGGCTACCATGGGACTGCATCTCCTCACGATGCTCCACTGCCTTGTGGACTAGACCTTTAGGTCAAAGGCTCCGAGTGTGGCCCTCTAAGAAAACCACCTGCTTTAGTTTGGGCACCTGAGCAGTATCACAGCCCTCACACAAATCGAATGAGATTTGTGAGGCGCATATTTATCTGGTGCTTCCTTGTACCAATATTTATGTGTTTAAACAAATAAATAAAATAAACATTAACTTTACCATAAGTTCTAGAAAGTTTACTTGCTTTGAAATTCTAGTCTTGGTGATACGAACTGTGCGGCAGTAACCCCATGTTTTGTGAGATTCGATATAATAAGTGCTTACCAACCAAATGCAAAATACCTACAAGTCATATGTAACTTTTCCTTTAGATCTAAATTCCAGGTATTTAGTTAGGTTTCACAACTTAACAGTATGTGTACTTTTGTGATGTTTAAATAAATCAATGACTTCTTAGTATTGATGACTGTTGTAATTTTGAATTCCAAATACAATACATTCGTTCGGGCTTATCTAATACTTCTTGATTACATTGCGTTATCCCTGGGATTACTTGTTTATACTACAATTTAAATACTTCTGATTATCATAACTTTTCAGCTGTAGACAATTATATTTGACCGATTAGATGTAGTCCACGCAGTTTGTATGGTAATGGAGGACCAGAAACACGATACCTAAAAGAAAGCTTAGCACAATAAGAATCTGCCGAGCATAAGTTTGCAACCAATCCTTCGGCAGAATCTTACACACTATATAAATATTTGGAACAAAAGTAGTGCCGAGAGAATTGGCTTATTCAAGGAGTATTGATCATTCAATATAATATATGTACATTGAGAGAAGGAC